AACTTTTTGTTCTCGCCCTCATCGTTGTTAGTGTTGTTACTTTATAAAGGTCAAAAGTAAACAAATTTGATACAATATAAAGTAGTCAACTTTAATTATAGGCAAGATAGAGCTTATGAAAAGGTTGCTATTTAGGAGCAACTACCAACATTGAGTAATCCAAGAGCTATGAATGGGTATTTGTGTTACTGAGAACAAGACTAATGGCACACTCGGATAATGGCATGATGTACTTGGACATATATATGGCAATTTAAAGAATTTTATTAGAATTTATGAGGACGAGGTTTTATTTACGCGACTATCGAAGCCGAGAGTGCGGGAATCGAACCTACGGATTTGAGTATGCCCTCCAATGCTCATAACTGCCGAGTTACGACGTCAACTCTCCGCCCCGGTAGGATGGTTTTATGTATTTAACCTGTTAAATTTCTATAAAGGCATAGTGTAAATATAGCAACTAATAACAAGTGTACCTACCCCATAAATTAAATAAAAAACCTAAATACAAAGACTATTTAGGATCTACCCTGGCTAAATGCCGGGAAGCTCTAGATGAAGCTTTAATCTTCTTGAAAATCGTTGGTAGCAGTGTCGAACTTGTGTACCCTTAAAAGAACAAATCGCGCCCAACTGGCGTTTTCTTTAGAGTTGCGGTTACTTTTAACAGCACAGGGTTGGTTGGGCATGCTAAGATGTGTTTGAAAAGTTTTTAGATAACTTGTTAAAGGTATTCCAGCGAAATTGAACCGAGTTTACAGTAGCCTCTTCAAACATGTAAGCAGGAAGTGGAATGATAAGCTAATCCTTCACGACTCCAAACACACTCTACGCAGCCTACTGATGGAGCACTTCAAGAGATTTTAAAGGAAATGACTTAGGCAATAGCGCGCGAAGCTAACTTTTATAATAGTTTTTATGCAAAAACATAAATTATTCTGAGGTATTTCAAAATAATGTGTATTCCGGCTGCTGGGAAAATTTCATAAAGTCATCTCAAAGGTTAGCAAGTTAAATGATCTGACGTAGAAAAAGACTAGGGGGAGTATTTGATGTCCCGTTGAGGAAGGGTATACGGACGTGTGATATAACGACAAGTGATGTCCAACCCCGTTTTTGAGCACGTGATTTGTAAGAGTTAGCTCCAATACATGTATGTACTACTCACGAGAAAGGCTTAGTGGGCTCAACGGGTAACAACCTAGACAAAAAAAAAGGAGAGAAAAGGGAAAATCTGCGTCCTTCATGTGGTATTTAATAATTTTCCACTATCCCTCAGCCTTCATTTTCCGATAGTTACACAAAAAATATGTCGACTTGAAATTTTGAGAGTGACCCCATATTAGACAAGCGGCTTACTTCTGGCCCTTTAATGATACTTTTGAAGACTGTGTTCATGTATGTGACCAACTCTGGAAATGAAGATCACAGAAATTCTTTTGAAAGTCTAAGTGTAAGTTATTATTTACCTTTGACATATAGTTTAAACCCTACTTTTATAAGATCTCACGAGACAGACCCGAAACAACTGGGTTGGCGCAACCTAAAAATAAGCTGGAGAAAAGGTGTTCTACGAGGGATTCTCAGTGGAAAATGAGAGCTAGAGCGGTTTCTGGTGTGGTGCCATTAATTGACATTAATAATAAGAAACGTTTTTACACTGCTGCCTTTATTTTGATGACGGTGATATGAGCCAACTTCCGAACATTAAAAATATTAGTACATCAAATAATAGTAGAGGGCATACGTTGTCCAAGATTGGCCGAGAGACTTTAAAGCTAGAAAAGTGGGAACATCAAAGAAGGGACGTAAAGCTTTAGATAGACAGGAGCTCACTCGAACGGCAGTTCGGCGTTCTGTCACTTTACTGTGCTGTTAAGTATACACCTTAAAGGGCACCGCTGCGTTTGTGGCTTCCTACTGTATTGGGAGATAATTCTCACGGATAGAATTGATTACTATGGTCGCCATCCTAAGAGGAAAAAAGGCTACTTCATACGAGCATCTTACTTGGCATTCTAATGAAGGCCCGTTAAGGAGCTTTTAAGAACCGCAAGTGAGAAATAGGTGTTTCCAGTGGGCTTACTAGTTTGATGAGCAGGTCTACTAAATTTACTAAATGCTTTAAATGTTATCGTAACCTGTACAACTCTAAGGTTAATACTTTTCACAAGTCTAGTGTTGTGGGAACCTCTTTATCTTTTTAAAATCTAATGCTAAGGCGTAGGCGTACCTGCTAGTAGTACCTTACCTTTGGAATCAGCATATAATTGACTTTTTTAATAAATTGGTGCAGGGCGAGGATTGCCCTTTAATCTACAACCTTCCATTTTACAAGTGCTTTGGTCAGAAAATGCCGGAAGGCTATGAATTAAACAACAGAATAGAACTCTACGACCGAGAACCATGAAAGATCCCATAAGGGCAATATTATATTAATTTTAAAGGAGCCGGATGTTACATACGAAAAATGCTTAAATCCTCTTTGAGCTCTGCAGGACACAAAATAAGCACGACTTTTATGGTAGACAACATCGTATTTTAACTTAAAATGGTTATTATGTAACAAGGCGCGAAAATTATTTACAGTTATTTTAATGGAAGAAACTAATATGACTAAAAGCTTTAAATATAAAAACCTTTGACGCTAACCACACATAGGAGTTTAACAAAAAATCTAGCTCTGCTCCATTTTTTTTATGAAAGGACGCCCTATAGTATGGGAGAAAGGAAATTAATTTTTGGGAGCTCTTTTTCCGAACGTCACTGGGTACTTGGCAATAGTCAAGAGTATTAAGAAGGCAAAATAAAATGCCGTATTGAAGAAAGAGATGCACGTTCAAATCACTTTTATGTATACCAACTGTAATCAACTTACAATAAAAGCGTTTATTATATATCAAAAGTAAAATTATGAAATACTTCTTTTTTGGCGAGATGTTAGTTGGTTTTTAGTTTACTTATCTTACCTTTTATAACTGAACATGGGTATATGTATATATACTACAGATATGAGGCAAGTGGTTAAGGGAGAGACAGACAAAAAGAGATCGCTACTGCACGTTTTATATAAGTCGAACATTCCAAAACGTTCTTTCATATATTAATAAAAACTCTTGCTTAAAAAAAGGTGGTTTGCGTTGTAAAATACTTATCTGAATCTTTTGTACGGAGTTATTGAATCACTCAGTTACTTTTGAAACCAAGCCTGTTATAAAGTTCTATAATGATAAAAAGCTCAAAAAAAATGGTGCACTCGAGTAACAAATTGTAGAGTAACTAACATTAGATAGAAGGAACTACCTTTAAGCAAGGTAGCAAAGAACGTAGAGCTAGATCGTCGGAAAAAGGAAACTAAACGGGGAAGGTGAGGATACTAAGATCATAGAAATAGGATTAAGAAGATCAAGGGCAATAACCGAGAACAACAGAACCTAAGATACGTAAAATTAGCGCTTTATTATAAAAAATCTAGCAAAACCCGTTCCTTCCGAGAAGAACACGTTTAACTTATATACCCGCGAGAGAAGGAGAGAAAATTTTTTATTGCGTACCTCATTACAACTAACTAAGGTTAAAATTTATGATAGGTACTTTTTGGCGTTAACTATATTAAAACCCCGGATATTATAATTTTAAAATGAGCGGATTAATCTAATATGGCATTAAAAAGCACTGATACGATACTGTTGCCATGAGAGTTACCTTTAGTTTAGTTTTTTTAGTTATTCTTATTGAATTTCTTTTACAATGTTGATTAGTTTTTCTTCTCAATCAGCCTTTCGTTCTCTCTTCGTGCCTTTGTAGTTATGATAGTTGGCTTAAAAATGTACGGAACGTTAGTCAGTTAAGTATTAATTGCAAGAATTGTATATAATTATAAGATTTATTATTTTATTGGAGGTCGTTCTTTAGTAAAAGTGTTAACACACAACTCGTTGATTTTTTGACATTAATTTTATAGTTATTAATTATTTTAATTATTTTTAATTCATAGTTAAATGCCCAGTATACTTTTAACTTTTAAATCTTTTTACTCTAACGATAGAGAAAATTCTTTATCGACTTTCTTTTAAAATTACGTAAAGTACAATATTTCCACCAAGATAAAATGAAAATTAACTAAATCATTAATACTATTACGTTACTAACCATTCCTTATATGCAAAAATCGAATAAATCATAAGAATATCTTTCAAACTATGAGGCATTATGATAATATTAGATGTAGTTAAAAAAACCCTTATTGGGTAAGCTATTGGAAAACTACATGGTTAGACTAAAATGATCTTTATAAAAAAATTTAATATAATTATTTCAATAGGAAAATAACTATTTTAATAAACTTCTCTCTCTCTCTAATCATCTTTAAATTTATAAATCTAGTATTACAGATAGTATAAATGGTTACAAACAAAATTTACAAGATATGAATTTAATCATTGAACTAAAGAGGAGCGGTAATTTTGATTAGTTAAAAAAGCGTTCTTCAATTATCTACTATAGAAAACTTCGCATGAAACCCACAGCCCCACTCTGAATTGCAATTTTATTTATTTACCATTCACGACGTGAAGGAGCCTGTTTTATGTAAAACAAATATACAAACAATAATTTTTTATGTTATTACATTAACTTAATCGTGTTTATAAAATAAAATTTAGGTAAAATTATGTTGTGTTGCTCTTATTTCTCATCCTTCTTTGCATTGGTAAAATATAGTAATTAGTAATATTTTTAACTCTAATTCTGGTTTCTCAGATAATGATAAATACTTAACTTAATTATTTAAGTAATTTTATAGAAAATTTAAGCAAGATAAATTACTATTAAACTTTAGCTAAACTTTACTTATCACTTTTGTGATTAATACAAAGAAGTCTTAGTAACATACACAACTAAAAAGTTAACTTTTTTACTTTTATTACTGAAATTTTTTTTGTAAAGGTATGGAATTTTTAAAATCTGATAAACTTTGAAAAATCTCAAATGAAACTTATTTTTTACAAAGATTGAGATGAACTACGCGCCAAAGTTTTTTGTTAAATTTTTACAAACAACTAGCTTATAATTTTTAGTTAGGCTAGAAAATATCAAACGGTTAAAATACATACAAAAATTTAACCAAATTGATCGCAACAAAATTGGTTTTATTTCGGGTTCGTTTCATTTTTATTTATAAATAATTTTTACTGCATTTCTATAAAATATAGTTTTAATATCGAAGTTAACTATTTTTTTAAAACTTTGAATGCTTTAATAAGTTATTTCTTAGAGTTCCAGGCTAAAAAAGCATTTCTTGCCGAGTCACGGCTACCTCCGGGAACTTTGCGTCGCATTTGGTACTTATATATACAAATTTTTAATTTAAATTTTGATTTACAAAATTACTCAAAAAGTTTTTATATATCTTCTAAGTTAAGTTTTGTTATAGGATAAATTCTAAAAAAAAATTTTTAGTAACTTTTTAAGGTAACCTTGAGATATTCTGCAAGGCAGAATTTAAGATACTTTAATAAAGTTTGTATAATAATTTAGGTGAGTTCGATGGTAAGACTTAGATTCACAGAACTTTTAAAGTTGTCATATAAACCTAAGAGACAGGACACATTCACGAATAGCCTTCAATTTTTAAAATTTGTGAATTTTTTAGACTTGACTACAATATTAAAGTTTGGACGATCGCCACAAATAAAGCGTATTAGTTTTATAGGATAGACGTTCTTATAAAAGGTAGAAGGTGAATCTGCAAAAAACATTGCAATTTCATTTCCATTTAAATCTCAATATTTATCAATAGAACTTGTATTATTAAGTTATTTTCTATTATTTAACTTTTATTAATAAGAATAAAGTATCTTATACTTTATGAACCTTTTTTGTAGAGCATTTACCGAAAAATAAGCATTTATAAAAAATATATTGATATTGTTGCCGCCTACCAGAATCATTTGACCCCACACTATTTAGCCGCTATGGGTACGCTTGAGGCATTTATTGCTTCCTAAGATACTTTTTAGCGAGAGCGCTTCTACTTGAAAAACTTTGTAAAATATGTGTTAAATTAGTAAAGTTTTTATAGTTAAAAAAAGTTTAATCGCGTAATTTTTGAACTATATTCAAATATTTTTGCCTGGCCACAATAGCTATATATTTAAAATCCTTTAGTATATTTTCAGTTGGTTTTAATTGATGAGTATAATTGAAAACTATTAGGTTCACAAGTTAAGTTCTTGTCGTACATGATATATTAATATATGAAATATTTATTGGTTATTCTACTCAGTACTTTAAAAAAAATAGCTAACTTCTAATCGCTAAACATTAAGACCCTCTCGTTGATGCATCAGGAGGGTTGTAGTACTGATTAGGTTTGTAGTGCACAATTAACTAAACGAATTAAAAAATAATACTTTTAACCTCTTTTATAAAATATTGTATTTATATAGACAATTAAATATTATTAACTTGTGTGGATGTATTTAAATTGGTGATGTTTTTGTTATACATGGTTAGCGTATTATACCGCTCTGCCTCCTATATTATAGATTTTGGTGGTTATAAATAGTGCTTACTGCTAATGATTTAAAACGACTGTATAAAAGGCATGCTATTTTCAATAGAAATAAAAAAAAATAGGGTTTATTAAACCCTATTAAACAACTTAATGCAGGGAACTTTCTGATCAAAACCAGGACGGAAAGCTTGACTGCGAGGAGTTTGTTATCGGGATGCATCTGACCGAATCTTATGCTAAAGGCCATGTGATTCCAGATCACGTGCCAGATCAGCCTTTAGCAAAGTTTAATTATAAACCCCGTGTATTTTTAAAATTGTTTGTAAAGTTCGATAAATAGAGTTTCGCATCGGGAAAGTAAAACTTTTGGTTTTTATAAGGTAAAAATTTGGAGTAAAGAAAAATTTTCATTAAAGTAGAAAAAATTAATTCCAATTTTTTTTTTCTTAGACTACACGATAAACTTCCTTTGCACTAAATATATTTATTACAACATATTCTTTTTGCGTAAAAAGCCTTCAGCTTATGAATATGGGAAAAGTCAAAAAGACGAATTAGTGTATAAAAGGAAAGAGAAGGAAGAATTGGATCGTAAGAGGAATGAAGAACTTGAAAAGGTTTTCAATAAAATAAATACAAGTAACACTTAAAGCTATCACTAACTACTTCGCCGTAAATAAAAGGACTATTATTTTTTTTTACACATTTAAACTCTTATTTTAGTCAATTTTTTTATTCTAACCTAAAAGTTGCAACGGCGCTGTTTTTTTACTATTTTATCAATAAATTAAGTATTGTTGCTTTGGGGTGGCCAATTTTTGTGTTTCAATAATATTTTTTCACCCTTCTTTATTATTTTGTGAGATTCGGGAACTTTCCAAAAATAAACAGAGTGATGCTATTAAGTATAAGCAAGAGCTACGGGCCCAAATGGAAAAAGCAGCTAATGAGCTTTATAAAAAACGAGTATATATTAATATAATAATTTCTTTGTTATTCAGTTATTATTCATGTGTTTTATATATTATTATTTATATATTTTTCATAGTATTATTTTACTTTTGTTTAATATAAAATATACGTAGAAGTTATATTTTTGGCTAGTTTTGATAAAAAAATTAATCAAATTTCTACAAATTTTATTGCAAAATACAAAGTTGATCGTGCCCAGAATTTTGTCAGACATAGTAGGCGGTCTTTATTATTGTCCGCAAACCATTTACTTACTTTTTTTTTTAAATAAATGGTAGTATTTATGTCGTCATTATTAGCTGCGGAAAAATGAGCTGAATGAAAGGCGAAGCAAACTGAACGACCTTATTTGGTGTCACCATGCAAGACTCGCCCAATTGAATGCTCAATTTGAAATGTAGTTTAGCCAATACCAGCACGTTTTTACTAGCTTAGGAATTCTAAGCCGCGTGCTTTAGTTTTTCGTTTTTCTTATGAATTTTTAGTGCACTGCAACTTTTTTTTAAGGTATTTATTTATTTAATGAAAGGGCAACTTTAAGAAAAAAGGAATTAAAAAAAATACTACAACTTTCCGCCGAGGAAAGCTTTATCAAAACAAACGAAGCTCTCGCCTTAAGAAGTAAAGTTCGCGCACTGGAAGTTTTGGTAGGACTGAAGCATATACAACTTTATTTTGGTTGTTGATGTTTTACTAATCAATCAGGTTCAAGGGCTACGCAAAGACTATAATTCTTCTGAAGATCAACTTCAACAGCTTGTTAAAGACGAACAAAAACTCTCACGTGAGAAGCTTGACGCTCGAAAGTTTGTTTTACTGTTAAATATTAACCTATATTTTTTATAAAATTATAAAACGTGTTTTTACGTGAAAAAAAACCAGCACGAATTAGTATTTTCATATTTTTATAAGCAACACGCAAGTGCAGACCGACAGCGCTATCAAAGAGCTTATCATGGAGGCGCATGCCCACCTCGCAGAAATTAAGATTCTTGAAAAGCGAATAGCACGCGACAGGATCGATATCTCTGAAAAAAGGTCCAATCAGCTTGCTGAAAAAATTATTGTTGTTGTTTCCGCTATAATTAATTTATATTATCATTTATTATAATTATTATTATTATTATTATTATAAAGAATTGTACTCGGAAGGATGCAAACAGAGTTAAAAAGAAACCAAGAAGAAGTCTATGAGAGTCTTATTAAGCGCTCTAAATTGGATTTTGAGCGAGTAGCTTTAATCCGCTCAAGAAAAGTTAGTATACAGATATATTATAAATAATGTTCGAGTTGTAAAAAGTATGATAATAATAATAAATATAAATATAAATATAAAAATTTATAATAAACTTATTTAGAACGTTGAAAAAGTTTTAAAGGATCAACAACAAAAACTACAAAGAGAGTATGAGTCACGTGAAATGGAAAAAGAGCAAATGAAACGTTTAGGTTTCATTTTTATTAAATTTTAATATTAGTACTAATATTATTATACCTCAGCGCAAGCAAAAGACCATCTATCCCTCAGAGAAGAATCAATAAAAGCTGAGCAAGAAATAAAAATAAAAGAAAAGCAAGATGGTTTTCATTTCTATGTACACAATAGCTATCACTATTATTATTATGCCTTTTTGTAGAAGAGAATGAAAAACATAGACAACGTGAAGAAGCACAACAAGCCGAAAGTTCACGACATCTAAAGCTCGAACAGCAGCGATATATAAAAGAAAAACAACAACAACTGAATTTTAACGTATTATTCCTATTGATGGAATATGTAGTAAAATTCATTGATAATTATTTGTTGGGTTGTTTATTAAGGAAAAAAAATTAGTCGAAACCGGATCAACTGCGCTTCGTATTACATTATTAATATCATTATTATTATATTTATTATTATTACTTTGTTATTAATGTTATATAAATATTATTAGCATACATTGCTCTTTACGAGTACCAATCTACCAATAAAAGCGACTTGTGCTTCAAAGAAGGAGGTGTGCATTATTTTAACCAATAAGCTTCAATGTTGGGCTTATTTCAACAAATCAGCTTTTATATTTATTAAACAAAATTATATATTACTATTATTCTTCTTTGTACTTTTTTATATATATTTTAATATGATGATACGCATTATTTCATTAACAAACTGAAAGATTTAATAGTTGTCACTGACCAAACTGATAATGATTGGTGGTACGGATACAATAAAGACCAATCCGGAACTTTCCCTTCAAGTAATAATCCGCATTGTCATCGTTATTATTTTTATTAAAAAGGGGAATAAAATATAAAAATGTTTTTCATTTTACATTCAGCATATTTTATTGTAATGAAAGTCATTTCCTTACGATAAAAAAAATAAATTTTGTAAGAGATAATAAATAAACTTTTTTATTCGAATGAACTTATTGGTGTATTTAGACTACGTTGATGCTTTGGAAAACTTCGAAACGATTCGCCACATTCGCCCGGCGGGTGAAGATGCTCTTATTGGCGGTTGCCTTTTCTTATATCATCATTATTATAATAATATTATCATTTGTACTGTTTTCATGGTTATTGTTTTTTAAATCAGACAAACAAACTTTTCCACCGGATGATCCAAACCTTTATGAAGCCGTTTATTCATATTCTTCAACGGAACCCGGTTTTCATTATTTCTATGATTTCTTATGTTTACACTTATAAAATTCCCTTATTATATTTCTGTTAAAAATATTTTTTGAATGTTTATACAGAAAACTTAGTATTTTTTATTGGGTATTACATCAAAAAACATTTTTACTTATTCTTGCTGCTCTAAAACTTTGTTTTATTCATATTGAACTTTAATCTTTTACTTTCTATATTTTTCACTATTTTTCTTGCAACTTCCTTTATTTTGGCACATAATCGTGAATGTTTTGATAAATTTATAGGCCACTCAGCTAATTACTAGTCGGTTAACAAAAATTATCACTAATATAGCTTTTGTTTATAACTTTTTATGCGCTGATTGGTGATTGCATTCAGTAACTTCGCACTGGCTGATTTTAGCATTCTCACAACTTTATATACACTCAACAAGTAAAAAAGCGCCTTAACCAACAAACCGTGTACTTTTGATGTAAAAAATGTGTTGATCGTTGGGTAACTGCTAAACTCTATTAACTCTGAGTTTATACTTACATTCAACTTTTAAAGTCAAAATTCTTTTGTAAGCCAATAAAAGTAAATCATGCTCTTTTTTACAGTTTATTGGTCTATATATAGACGATTTAAATTTTTCGAATGGTGATCTTATCCGTGTCACTGACCAAAGTGATCGTGATTGGTGGTACGGAGAATGTCGGGATGAAAAAGGAATGTTTCCTTCCAGCTACGTGAAACAGGTGTCGCCTAAACCCCTGCCCTTCGACACGTGCTCAGAGATGAGAGGTTGACCACTGAACTATTAACTTAAACTTCATTATTTTACTGCTCTTTTTCTCGTCATAGAAAATTTAAGCCACTCACAACCAATAAAACTTGCAAGTACAGAAGTGTACATGTGCTCTTTTTTCTCGTTTTTTCACTATTTACCAGAAAACACGTGTTCATTTTTAATACATTTAACAATTAACCACAATGCAGGACAGTTAAAATTGTTTTATTTTTTTATAACCAGTAAACTATAAGTAAATTTTAAATTTCATAATTAATTAAGAAATAATAGTATATATCTACTAAAATAAAAATATAATGGTAAATATAAAATAAACTGAGTAAATTTAATCAATTAATAAACATTCGAGGCTTAAAACGAATTCATTTTACTAAATTTTAATATCAGAATTCCCCCAACCAGTGTTTCTGTTTTGGACAACCGTTTACCTTTTAGCCAATCAAAATTTGATACTCGTAATTTTTGATGTGTTTTTCATTAATTTTTTGATTTTATTTTTCTATTGTTTTCACTTTTTATTAGAGCCAGAATTTTTTTCTTTAGAAGAAAGCAAACGTGAAATTATTATTGCCAAAGTTATTAAAAAGTTGACTAACCGTTTTTTAAATAATACACTTTTTTTGTACAACTAAATTTTTCACTATAATATTTGTAACTTTTTAATATAAAATAGTTTTGAACCGGATGAACCGATGCAATTAAAACTTCAAATTGGTGAGATTTATTAATAATGGTAATGATAATAATTATTACGATAATAATAAGGTGACTGTATAATTGTGACGGACATGGAAGATTTCGAATGGTGGGCGGGAAGATTAATAACTGAAGAGCAAAGTTACTTTTTTTTCCCGCCAATAACTGACCTACAGTATAGAAGTTTTAAAAGAAATAGAAAAAGGCGCGCTCGGGTGGTTCCCTAAGTCATGCGTGGAAGTTTTACAAAAGAAACCAGCGGGTTCTTTCGCGTCGCTTGTGTTCCCTATAAATTTAATATTTTTCTATAGAAGACATGTCATTGGTGAATCCCCTATTACAAGTACAAGCCGTTTGCGCTTACTCCTCCCAACGCCCCAATGAGCTTTCCTTTTCTTCGGGAACCATCATTGAAGTTATCGCTCAAAGTGGCCCCCATTGGTGGAAAGGTAGCCTTCCATTTAATTCAGAAAGCCCATTAACTTCGCCGCTATTGGACCAGGTCGTATTGAGGGTCAATGCGGGTATTTCCCGCCCTCTTACGTTCGGCCTGTGGAAGCATCTTCTTCGTCTTTACAAAGTAAAAGGGTCTCATTTTTTATATTTATAATTAGTAAAGTTTTTCATTACTTCTTTGAAATTTTATTTATATATATTTATTTTTTAAAAGAGTTCTAAAGTTTGCTCGTGGAATGATATTTTTGGTTCAGCAATATTATCAACGCTCTCCGCTGAAGAACTCAAACGTCAAAAGTCAATATACGAACTTATTGAAACGGAAGCGACGTATGTGTCCGACTTAAAGGCTGTCCTGGAGGTTAAAAAACTTTCTCAATACATATTTTTTTATGAATAATAATAGTGGTAATAATTATAGGTTTTTTATTACCCAATGAAGGAAGCTAAAATTTTATCAGAGCAAATGTTGGATGATATTTTTCTAAGTTGGAAAGAACTTCTTGAAGTAAATGAAGGTGCATTATTATTATTATTATTATTATTATTATTATTATTATTATTATTATTATTATTATTATTATTATTATTATTATTATTATTATTATTATTATTATTATTATTATTATTATTATTACTATTACTATTATTATTATTATTATTACTATTATTACAAGAACTTTACGATGCTCTCAAAAAAGCCCAGCAAGAGGGCCATATGGTCGTACATAATGTCGGTGTTATTCTTTGTGAAGCGGTAAAGTTTACATCCTATTTTTAGATAAAATGGTAAATCCAGTGTCTTAAAAACTACTAATTATGTTTAACTGGTACCAGCTAAAAAATTTTGGTATGTATAATAGCTAAAAAAGATGGATTGCTACGGAAAGTATTGCAAACGGCATGATGCTTTCCTGAATTTTTTATTTAACCAATCAGGTGATTAGTCTTATATTTTGAAGAAGTTAACCTTTTTACTTATTAGCAGATACTAATGTTATATATAATATACATTTTACTTATATAAAGTAGGGCTTTTATATTAAACTATGTTAGTACTTTTGCTATATATGGTTTTTCTTGCATTTAAACGCTCTTTATTGGCAGAGTACATCTATTTCATATACTTTATTGAATGATTTATATTTGAAATGTTTTTGCTACGCTCTATTCTACTCATATATACTATAGACCCGAAAATTCGAGAATTTATCGAGCAATGTGAAAAAAATTCCCATTTCGACTCTTTAGGTTCATAATATTATTTATAATAACAATGCTATTTTAATAAAGCAAAGAGTATTGCTTTCTCCCTTCCAAAGACCAATAAAATATAAAATCTGAGGTTTAAAAAAATTCTACTATTGTAAACCATTAGTCAGTACAAGAGAAAACCTTTAAATAGTAATGGCAAAAAAAAGATGCAGGAAATATTAAAGGCTTGTGACTTTTTAATAAACTCATAAGTTTGAGTTGCACAAAAAGAGTGAATGCAAATATAAATGTGTTGGTTTACATTAGTAATAAGAGTACTAGTATTAAAGCTAAGAAAAAGTTAAACTTGTATATTAATAGTTTTTATAAAAGGTTTTTTATTTATAATGAAAGATTTGAAGTAAAAAAGCTTCAAGTTAAGTGTTTTCATTAGTTATTGAGGTCTAACTTATTTTTTAATCAAATATAACATGTTTAACCCGTGTGCTGCGGTATTAGTTTGATCGTTGTAATTATAGCTAAAGTCTAAAGCAGTAATCCAATGCGTTTTAAATATTATAGTTTCGTTTTATATATTAATTGTTTAGCTTGTAAGTCGCTGTGTTTTAGCGTTATTACTCCGAATTTGTCAAAGATATTACTCTCCGGGGCCAATAAATTTTGAAAAAAAACTAATTTTTTTATAATTTCTTGCTTTGATGAAGGTATAACAGAGGCAAGATGCAATTTTTATTAATATATGATTTTTTGTAAGAGTCTACCAGTTTATAATATATTATAATTATCATACTTGAGAAGAATAACTGGCTAAACCTGTTTACAAAAGAAAAATATTATACTTGTTTATATTTTGACAACTTGCAGTAGTCTACGTAGTGGCATTAGAGATACTATGATTCCCTTCTTTGTTAGTGAGTCACAAAGCAACAAAGGAAGAAAATTTAAAGCAGAGCTGATTTAACTAATTATTAACAACCACTACCTATTAAAATATAATCTATTATAATAGTGGGGCCTCTTTAAAGTTTCCCTATTTTCTTTCTTTCTGTACTATTTTATTCTGGCCAATTTTTTTTAATAAACGAAATATACTGGCACACATAAAATTTGATATTGCGGATATTTGATCAAGGCATTCTAAAAGTTGAGCATTTATTTTAAAATCCAAATCTTTATTTTTATTATATCCACTCTGCATTAATACTAATAAAACGTCTTTCATTTTTATATATTAAATCATATATAAGTACGACATACTGATATCATTGGAATTAAATTCTGGTACTACCATTATTTTTATCAGGCTTGTCTGCCAGTTTGCTTTTACCAGTGCAGCGGATTTGCAGATATCCACTTTTATTGCGAAAAGTGTTTTTTTCTTTAATATATTCGTGGCGTTGATGGAGAATGATGTGATTTCTATCAATTTTTGAAGATTTCAACCGAAACAGGAGAGGGCCACTCAGAGTACCTGGACTGCTTGAAAGCTCTGCGAATGAGCGAAGCGTTAACGTCTAAAATCAACGAAGAAGTCAAGACTCATGAGAATGAAAAAAGAGCCAAAGAAATAGAAAAAAAACTCTCTCCCGCCAATCCACTCCCCGTACGTCCTTCTTACGTATTTAAAAAGTTCTTATAAGATTTTACTGTCACTTATAGAAGAAGGAACCTTGCGAGTCTCCGCGGAGAGTCGTTCATCAAGGCGATCTTTCTAAAAAGGGAAAAGGTTCACTTTTTTATTATAAAAAAAAATTATAAATTTTTTTAATCTTTCTTTTTTTAATAAATTTATAATAGACTTTCACGTGGTTTTGTTTAATGACTTCTTACTGCTTACTAATAAACCGAAAAAACATTTGCGAAAGAAATACCCGAGGGAAAACCTCGTGGTATACAAATCACCTATACCAATTAGCGAGCTTTCTCTGTTAGACGACTCCAATACCATTAAGACAAGTAAGTATGAAGATTATTGGTTGCTTGATAAATTTTACTTTAGCATTGGCTCAAATAAACAAAAGGCATCCATTTTGTAGTCCGCTGGAAGGGCAAGTCCTACAACTTTAAAGCCGCCAGCAAGGACGCAAAGTATCGTAAGTACTCACTAAAGTTCTTCAATAGTTTTTTTTTCTATTTTATTATATTTCTTTGAACTTTTAAGATTATGAAAAAAAATATATGTCAAAAGTTTTTAAACAATTTTTTTTGAAAAAAAATTGTTTCCAACTAGAAAAATATAATTTCCTTAACTAAACACCTTATGAAATAATGTATACTTTCTAATATAATAACAAAGAATGGATATCCGCTTTGAAGGAAACAATAGCAAATATATCGAAGCAGTAATGCGCGCACGAATAAAGCGAAAAATAAAAATTTTTACAATATATAACATTTATTGTTATCATAAAAAGTTAATAAAATTTATTACTATTCGCTCAATTTTTGGTGGGAACGTTTGTGTTTCAAAATTTCAATAGCAGAAAAGTTGTACTCCGAATCGCAAAGAGTGCAAAAATAAAAATTTCTTCTAACATTGGTTGTTTCCGAGTTTCCACTAGTAACCGAGACTTTCGATTCGTCCTCGGTAGTATTTGCGAGCCCGAATTGGTCAAAAGTAGAGTCAAGACAGTTTTTTAAATGCACCAAGAATTTCTGCGTTAACGAAAAATGAAATAAAAATTAATAATAAAAATAGACATTAAACCTGTAACGAACTGCGAGTCTCCGCGAGGCAGAGAGAGCAGCGCCATGTGGTTTCTTTTTCCACGTGATTTTTTACTTTTTCTTCACGTGCTTCTTTTTGGTCTAAGGGGTCTTCTTTACTTTCGTCTAGAGTTTCTTTTCTAAAAAGATGACCAGTGTCTGTCCACGCCACCTGATAATAATGAATAATAAAGAAGGAATACAAATTTTATACAAAGTTATAATATCTGATAAACTTTACAATTATGTACTTATAAAATTCTTATACAAACATTTTTTTTTAATGAACCGACTCTACAAAAGTCGCTGAGCGCAAGTCCTAGGCCTTTTAGTGATAATAAGTAATAAAAATATAATGAATTATAAGTTTAATACTAATAATAATAAAAGATAAGCGGTAATTAAAAAAAATATAATTTGAAATTAATGTAAGTTACTATTAATAATAACAAAAAGTTCATTATAATTGGTGTTATATATACCCTCGCCGTTTCCTTGGCGAGGGGAAATACATTTATTAGTGCCTTCTTCTAGATCTAGAAATTCCTCCAGTTCTGACTGTTTAACTTTTACAAACTGTTGATAATTATAACGAGAGTAATAATAATGATGAAGATAATAATAAACTTTATGAGTTATTTTTAAGGAGAGGAATTGAAAAATAGCAGAAGTAAGCTTTGCTTTCACTCCTTCTGAAGTTTCATTATTTTTAGGAAAATTGGCCATGTGATCTTCCGCGTGCTCGATCCCACAAAAGTTTTTATAAAACTCGACAAGTTCCCTTGAAAGTTTCGTTTTAATCTAATTGGTTTTTTTAAATAATACTTTATAAAAATAAAAAATAATGAAAGGTCTCAGCCAATAAAAAAAGGAACTGATCGCCCGTTTACTGCAACCACCAATAAAAAAGGCGTTTTCAAAAAGTTTACCGAAGCAACTGGCTTATGTTTAGCGCCTGAAAGAGGTGCTGGGGAAGACAATGAGGGCTCCATTGACTTGAGCTTTTTCAATAATGAATTTAATAATAATGGTAATGATAAATTCTTAAGACCTTTTGTGAAAGCAATTCATTCCACCAATAGCGAATACGAACAACTAGCACGAAAAAAAAATTAATAAGGCTTCGAAAGTTAATACACGAATAAAAAAAATCTACAAAAAAAATAAAACCCCCAAAACTTTAATGGCCAATAAACTTTCTTAAAAGTTTTTTTAAAAAAGGAATTCAAAAAAAACCCAACAAAAGAAGCGCCTCTGCCGTCTTGTAACTTTCCTTTATAGTCAATCCAAGCCAAGAGTCGATAAGAAGGTGCTGGCATGTGGCATCAGCCTCAATACTTCTGGCGAACATGAGCAAATAGTGGAAACTATAATAATGATGAATACAAATAAAAATATATAGATTAAAAAAAGCATGCCTGGGAATACGCACGCAGTTGATCAAATAAGGTTTTTTAGTTTCCTTGAAGAAAAGTATAAAACAATATATTTTATAAAAAGGTTTCAATAAAACAATGATAAGAATAAAAATACTTTCATATAAAATATAACACAGGTAGGAAAAAATAAACACCAATAAGGACATATAACACAGAAAGTCTTTAATGGTTGGCCCACTCTGATCGATATATTCCGGTTTTGAGTAAAAGACGCTCGTTGGATGAAGGACTAACAAAGGCTTCAGTTGGGAATGGTAGACCTATACATAATTAGTATTCTATTGGTTAATAATAGTATATAGACTTTTTATTGTATATATTATCACTATTTTTTCATAAAGTTTGTAAGAATTTTAGTTTTATATTCTTATAAAAAGCGATAATCATTGGAAATCATCAACTTATTTAGTATTCATTATTTTTTATTATTCTTCATTCCATTATATAATGCGCATTTTTATTATTAACCAATTCAGTTGGACGTCGCACACGATTTGCGGAGTCGGGCACAGCAATATGAGGGTAAAGGCCGCACACCAAGATAAGTTGGAGCAGAAATATTTCTTTTTCTTCAAGTGTTTGCATAGTATTATTCTGAAAATAATAATAATAATAATAATAATAATAATAATAATAAAAGTTTCGAACGTCTTTAGCCAATGGCCCGTTCAATTCATTGTTCGATAACAACTTTGAGCTACTTTCCGAATCGCCCGGCTACAGATTTTGGCATAAAGTTAAACAGCAGAAAGTATGAACAGGTACTTTATATAATATAGACTACCCAAGAAACTTAATTATTGCACCAATGCAGAGATGGTTAGTTGACGAAACTTATTATTATTATCCTTTTATTATTTATTTTTATTTAAAAGATTTCAATAATTACTTTTTTTATATTAATTTTTTTTAATGGAAACTTTTATATAATTTACAAAAATATTAAAAAAAAAATCCTTATTACATGTCACAATTTTTTATTTATAAAAAAAACTTTTACTATTTTAATAATACTAAAAACTCATAAATTTAAGCATTTTTATTCATATAAAAACTTACTTTTAAGTAAAGCTCATCCTCATCATCTTTATATATATATATATATATATAATTTAAAAAAAAGTAAAAAAAAAAAACTTTCATAAAATTATTTGTGTATTATAAAAGTTTAATTACGTTTTCTTTTGCGAGAACTTATTGTTTTCTTGTATCGCTTTTCTTTAAGAACTTCCCTTTAAATAATAATAAGGATAATAATAATAGTAATAATAATAATGATAACGTTGTGTTTAAATTATAATGAATGAGTTTATTATCTATAAGAATATCTTCAAACTGTTTTATCAACTTTGAAACTTCGTAAAACCTTTGTTCTTCCTTTTTTATAATAATAAAAAAATAAAAATAGTACAAGGTTTACATTATTTAAAAATATGCTTCTAAAAAATGACTTATAAAAAGAAGTTTTTCTTAAAAAATAAAATAAAGTTGTTTGTTGAATAAAATAATTATAAAATATTTTTATTAATAAAAAAAAATTATAATAAAAAAGAAAACTGAATTAAAAAATATTATATAAAAGTTACAAACTTTATTCCTTTTAGAAAATAATATAAAAAAAATTTATATAAATTTCATTGAATACACAGAAACGGAAAAAAAAATAATGATCATAAATTTAAAATATTTGAAAAAATTTTTTAAATATTTTTACTATCGAATGTTTACGACACCAAAGTTTTGACTGCTCTTTAGATTCAGATTTCACCTTCATAATAATAATTACAGAAAATAACAATAATAACGGAAATAATAAATAATATTAAAAATAATGATAATAATACTACTTTGAGCCATTCATTATAAGCGCTGTACAAAGTAAACGCATCGCCGTGTTTCGAATCAAACTTGTGTCTAAACTCGTAAGCTTCGCTTTGGCTTGCCATAAAAATAATGAAATTAATATAACTAATAGTAAAAAAGAATAGAAGTAAACCTATCAATGTGTTTGGTAATAAATGGTGACTGGACGGACAACAGAGCAGCTATGGAAACTGTTGGCTTAATGATATCCAATACCTTTCATAATAATAATGATAGTAATGATAGTAATTATAGTAATGAAAAGGTTTTACTGTAGCAAAAATAAGCATTTTTCCAAGCGGAATACTAATTGGTAGCTTTGACAATACTTTTCCTAACACAGTCACGTGTTCCGTCACCTCATGAATTGCTTCATTCTTGAACGAAATTTATTATTTATTATATATTATTACTTATTATTATTACTATTTATTATTATTTACTATTTCTTATTTATTATTATTTATTTATTTACTATTATTATTACTATTTCATTAAAACCTTTTTTAAATAATCTAATCCCAATTCTATATCATCTTTGTTGGGAGGCTCGATGAAATCAAAAGTACGCGGGTCAGTATTCGTCATTACTTTTATCTATTCATTATTATTGGTATTACAATTAATTATGATTATGAATATGCATGTGACTATTTTTAAAGTTCTTCATGAAATATAAAACCAAACTCGCAGTAAACTTTAACACCAAAAAATAGTAGTGTTGTGATACTTTCTTATGATAAGAAATAGGTGTAGCTCATTCCACGTGGTGTACACGTGTAGGCGACAACAGAATAATATACAAAAATATTCATTAAAAAAATTGACTAAATGCTAAAGTTCAAATTATATGCAATGTGTTACACTTTAAAAATAAAAAAAAAATTATCCAATGGAAACTTTATGCCTAAAGCTACCAATACTGTGTATACATCTCGTTATACTTTTCTATACCAACATTTATTAAATATAAACAAGCTTAAAGCTACCATTAGCATTGCGCTATACTTTATTAAATTTGTGTAAATTCAGTAAATTTTGTGAAACGGCTATCACTGTTTACTACAAGCTAAAGTTATTTATTTATTATTTTTAAAAGCACTATAAACGAAGACGTTAAAAAAAATGAAAATATTTTTAATTCATTAAATTTCATAATAATACTGAAGTAATTATAAAAATGAAAAAAAAACAATATTTTAGATTATTATGAAACCAGTAAAAACTTTTTAAAAAAAATATTAATTTCTCGAAAAAGGTCAACATAATAACTCTTAGCTAATAAGAAAATGATATTAAGTAAATAATTTTAATGAAATTAATCGCCTGAAGAAGCATAGAAACAATCGGAACACGTTGAATTTCCGGAGTCGAGTAGCGGCTGAATGCTTGATAGTCGTTGTTATCGTACAAACGAAAGCAAACTCCTGTTTAAAGTATAAGAAAATATAATGAATTAATAATAAATAATAACAAAAAAGAGTAAAAAATACAATAAAGAACTAAAAACAATAAAATATAAATTCATTATATAATAAACAAATAAATCTTTTTATCAACATATAAATTCTGAACTTTTCTTAAGAAAAATAATGAAAAATATAGATAAGAAAAAAAATTCCTTTTTCAAAAAATATAATGAATTATTTGAAAAAATAATAAAATCCACTAAATTTCTACTTATTCATTATAATTTATAAAATAAAAAAGAGCCGAAAAAAGAGTTTAACTTTCCTTTTTCTACTTAATGGTGAATACTAACATAATTTAATAATTTGCAGTATAAGTAATAATTATATTCACTAAAATTTCTGTTTATTCATGATAATTTAAAAAACATACAAAGAAATAGCGGTCCTAAATTTTTTCTTTACATTTTTTACTTAATAGTGGATACTAATATAATAATAATATTACTAAATTTTTTGCTTATTTATTATAATTTATAATACAAAATATATTAAGAATGAGGCTCAAAAAATTGTAAATTTTTTTTTACTTAATAGCAGACACTAACAGTAGTGATAATATTGAATTCATATAGAAAAAGTAACTATTTTTCACTCCTGCAAAATTTCATTATATTTTCTTATGGTATTATCATTACTAAAATTACTTTTCAATATTTTTTTTATTAGTACAACTGTTACAAATAATCACGTATTATAAATTTTTTTTTAGGCATTATCAATATTGAAAAATAGTTCACATTATTTTTTCTGATATAACAATAAGTTATTAATATATTTCTTTATTAGTATTGTCATAGAAAAATTTTCATTACATTATTATATTCATTGTCACCGAAAAAAAAACATTTTTAATTTTTATAAAAGTATAATTTTTTTATTCATTGTTACTTATTATAAATATTTATTATTGTTACAAAAAGTTATTTATTGTATTCTTTTTCAGTACAGTATATTCATTATTATTACTAATAATTATTATCATTGTTGTTATAGAAAAATATTTATTGTATTCTTTTTCAGTAACAAATTAATTATATTATTATTTATTATAATTATTTACTTTTATTGTTACAGAAAAATATTTATTGTATCCCCTTCCAGTACAAAATATATTCATTATTTATTATAATAATTGACTATTATTCTTACAGAAATAAATTTATAATCTTTTTCAGTAAATTTGTTACAAAAAACAATATCATAATTTTTTTTGATTATAATATTGCAAATATATTTTTATTATATATACTTAATAAAATTGTTACAAAAAGTATTTAGTTTAACACTTTTTTTAATAAAAGTTCATAACTTTTTTTTATTAGTATTATTGTTAATGAAAAATATTTTTTAAAAATTTTATTTATTTCCTTGTTATTCGTGCGAAATAGGCTGCATAATTTACAAACCAGAAGCTTACTTTTCCATTTACACTTTTACTGGTAAACTATAAATGTTGGTCAATGAAGTTTAGTGACGTTATTTGAGCGGAGGGGAGTATAAGCAAGATTTCACAAAAAATAGACCATTTATAAATATTTATTTTCTTGATAGCAATAAAAAATAAATTATAAAATAGTTATAATAAATTGGTAAAAGTTTTATCTTAATAATTATGTATTTCTTTTTCATTTTATTTTTTCAACTTTGGAACAAAAGTAATTACTTTTTTCAAATATAATAATAAATGAAGTATGAAAAATTCCCCAACAAAAACTTATTAAAATATAGTATACCTGCTATGTGACTCTGTAATATCGCCAAAAAAATACTTTATATGCACCACTTGCACATGTTAGTGATTGCTTATGAAAACTTAAACCTCTAATTATGATTGGCGCCTTCTACACCAAAAGCACACTTGGCAAACTTTTTAAAAATAATATTTTTAAGGCCGTCAAAATGGATCTAACAAATTTTTTTTCATTATTACTTATGCTGTTCCTTTAACTCATAATTTCCTTTAAATTTTTTTCTTATAAGCGAACTTCCAGCGTAAAGTTTCATTATATGTTTTTTAAATAAAAGCTACTAACCAAACGGCGTTTCTCAAAATTTTTTAAACTTTTTTCAATATTATTTCCATAAAAGTAGTAAATAAATATAGTTTAGCCAATAACAAGGCGTAAAAAGTAGTATAAAAAAACCGTAGGCCTTTGCTTTACCCAATGAAACTTAAGGTTTTTTAACCAATACTATTCTTGCTAACAGATTTTACTAAAAAATGTTTTTTATTTAAGAATAACCAATAAAATAAAAATAATTTTAATAAAAGTCATAAACTGCAAACTAAGGAAAAGCAATAAAACTTTCATTAATATAATTGTATTTATTATAATAAACTTTTTATTAAGTAGTAAAAAGTTAATAAGAATAATTAGAAAAATAGTTAATGTTTATATAAACTTTTACTATTAGAGCAGTTTATTTTACTTATTTTATATATAATATCTACTTTTACTTATTAATAAAAAAAATAGTGATAATAATAATAATGACCCGGCCCAGTCCGTCCTGCCCGCCCTTTTCTTTGCTCTGCGCTGGCCTGGCTAATCCAGTACTCCGTTAAGCGCTGCATGTTAACTTTACTGTCATACGCCATTTCCTTTACCTGAAAAATAGTGACAAATAATAATAATGAAGATGGTGACAATAATAATAATGAAACTTTTCCGGAATCAATAACAAAACGAATGCCGTCAATCGTAATAGAAGTTTCAGCAATATTAGTGGAGATTATGCACTTCCGCTTCCCTTCAGGAGCGCTTTCAAACACTTTATCTATAATTATTTAATAATTATTATTACTATTAACTCATTATTATTTTATTATTACTATATAAAACAAAAGTTGGACAATAAAATATATAAAAAAAGTATATATAATGACACTTAATACTACACTAAAATTTAAGGTTTTTATATTTTTACGAATGAAATGAATGCTCATTAATAAACCCACTTGATATCTACAGGAGTGGAATGCTAGTGGCTGGGTACGACAAAGTGCAACAATTAGTCCTCTAATAACAATAAATTTTAGCAAATGAAGGGATCGGCTATCAAATTTAAGCCAATCCTTAAAATTAACTGCCTGTTATTGGCTGCAATGCCCCTTATCCCCATAGAAAATTTTATGAAGACTTAAACGAATTGCCAGCTGAACAGCTTCTAGCCGGCTTTTAAGAGCAGTAACTTTTTATAGGTACTAAAGTTTCCTACTCGGGCAAGTTACAAGGCCATTAGCTGAAAAAGAACTATTTATAACCAATGAGATACTGTCTTTTTTAGTATATAACCAATCACCTTACATATTTAAAAATAACTACAAAAAATGTAAGCATTTAAAAAAAATTATTTTTAAAACTTTAAATTTAAAAAATTGTAATAAAATATTTTTAAACAAATAAGCAATAAAAAAAGTAAAGGAAAAGAAAATAATGAATAATAATAATAATGAAAGAGCAAAACCCTGTTCAGCAAAACTCAGTAGAGAATGCAAAGGTAAAACAATCCACTGTTGGCTTTTTTCAGCAAATTTAGTGACCTCCTATTAAAATTTATATAATTACAAATAATAACTTAATAAAATATAAACCAATGAAAAGTATAATAGAAATTATGAAAGGCATATAGAGGATATAATAAAGAAATATAAATAATTTTCTATTATTCAAGTTTACAGAGAAATAAATAACAAAAGTTAGATATACAAAAAACTTCATTAATAATATTGAATAATAATAAATATATGAATTAAAGAAAATAAAAAAATGTATTAATAAAAGTATAGTAATAATAATAAACTTCAAACAAGGAATGTATTTCAGCCACGCCGCTCATAAACACTAAGACGTCCCCTGCATTTTTTCATTTCATTAATTTTAGTGAAAATTCTTCAGCATTACAGATAAATACGTGCCAACCTCTTTCTGTGATTGGATACGTTTGATCAATTTCTTCGAGGAGGCGGATGTACGGCCCTTTTTAATTTAAAATAATAATAATAAGAACACGTGTGTCCAGTTTTTTATGAAAATAATAAATAATAATACGTGTGTCCAATTTTTTCTCGACGATCTCCATTGGTGCTTCACTCGGTTTATAACGAACTTCAATATCATACAACCGGCCAGGTACCTTTTCAAGAAAAATAAAGAAAAAAACTAGTATTAGTAATAAAACTGAAAACAGTACTAAAGTTTATATATATGTCTAAAGGCTACCAAAAAGTACTCGACGGTACTAATTTCAGTACCCACATGATTTTAAATGTTATTTTTTAATAAATTATTCTAATAAAAAATAGTGAAGGTGATTGGAGAATCAAGCGACAGTCTATAGCAAGTTAGCAGCGATTCGCTAACAGGAAAGGCCTGAACTTATTATCTACTAATGAAAACATTGAAAAAAATTTAAGCTATACAAAAGGCTGATACATAATTACATAGAAGGGCCCAATTAAACTTATGGGAGCAAATAAATAAAAGTTCATATAAAATTCGAAAAACAAATTTTAAAAGATCCACTAAAACAGTGAAAATTACATTAAATAGTGAAGCAATAGTAACTTTTCACCACTAGAACCTCGAAAGATTGCAAAAAAGTGACCAAAACCAATAAAATTGCGGACATGATTGTATAACCCAATTAGAAACTCAGATACGAATTGCAAAGGCCCACTGGCTTAAAAGGCCCCAACAAGATACACAAACTACCAATAAGCTGACAGCTTCTTTGATGTAAAAGCTCACTCACAAAAAAAGTTATAAAAGTACTTAATAAGTCGAAAAAAACATAAAATATACAGAAAGAAAGATTATTAAATATATAATAAATACAGTAAATATTGTAAAGAATTTGTCTCAGGTTTTTTTGGCCAGCCAATTATTTTTGTTAAAATCACGCGGACTCGTAAATTACTATATTTTTTGGATAAATAATATAATCAAAATATATAAAGTCAAAGAAAGTGCCGTACAATACTCTTATTGGCTGAACAATATAAGCTGTCACCAACCTTATACGCCCCTTTACCAAAATATACAATAGTGCTAGGCCATCTCATTGGATAGTAAAAAAGAACTTCATAAATTATTACGAAATTATTAATAAAACTCTACACTTCATAGAATGAAGTTCTTTAAAGAATAGTAAATTTTATAAGAAAAAAATGATTGAACGCGCTAAAAAAAACCTGAATAATAGGTGAGCTCTGGAAATATAATGAAAATAAATCAATATTAATAGTGGCGGACATTAATATGAGCTTCAAGTCCGCCCGTTTGCACTATTTATTATGAAAAAATATTAAAAAAAATAAGTACATAATAAAATAAGCAAAATGATAAATATTTAAAGATACTTATTAAAAATATAATAAGTAATTAAAAAGATAAGCATAACATTTATGTATACAATATTACTACTTTTTTAGTTTATATATAAATTTTATAGTAATAACAAACTTTTTAATAAATAAAACTTTTGTTAAAAAAATAAAAGGTATATTCTTAATTATAAGTAAATATATAAAAAAGCAAAATTTTTAAGTATATATTATTATTTCTTAATATGATAAGAAAAAAGGAAAAGTTGTCATAGTGAAACTAAGTAAATAAAAAATAATATAAGCAAAATTTTAAGTATATAATGTTAAAGAAAAATAGGAAAAGTTTTCATAATAAAAATAATAATAACCAATAAAAAAATATAATACAAAGTAAAATAAAAATAAGCAAAAGTATAATTAAATATAACTAATTATAAAAATAAAAAAAGCATTAAATAAAAAGTTATCATAATTATTATTGATTTATTTTTCATAATAAAATAATGAAACTTTTATATGAATTTTTTTGGTATGACATTATTAATAACATTTATTTTTAATATTTAAAAGGTTTTTTTGTTTTCTGTTTATTTTTTTTTATTAATAGTAATAACTTTTTCTTATTTATTATTTAAAAAAATTATTTTTCGTATAATAATAATAAAAATAACTAAAATTTACTGTAAAAGTTCTATTATTTCTATTTTTTGGTATATACTTTTTAATGATAACAATAACTTTAATAAAAAAATTTTATTATTTTCTTTTGTTTATTAATGATAAAAATAACTTTTATGAATTATATTTAATGAAAATACAATGCAACAAAAGTTACGATAATTATAAATAATAAACAATAATTATAATTCTGTAAAAAATCCAACGAGTAAACTTTTCATCATTCCCAGTAAAAAGTCGCAGTAAATATTTCTCTCATGCACCTGAAAAAAAAAGTTGAGACGCATAAAAATTAGTGATGTGTATAATTATAATTATAAATAAATATACAAAAATATAATAAATAATAATAATATGAAAAAGCATATATTGATACACAGAAATAATGATAATAAAATATAGATTGATACATAAAAATAAATAATTATAATAAATATATGATGATATATGCAAATACAAATAACAATGGTATACAAAAATTAATAATAATATATATTGATACACAAAAAATAAATAATAATTAATAAAAATATAAATATAAGAAAGTATATATTAAAAAAATTAAAATGAATACTAATAAAAAATAAAAAAATATATCGATAAATAAATAAAAAATAGTAAAAATAATAATAAAATGTACTTCATCCATAATCACAAGCTCGTATTTTGATAAAAGCGGATCGGAAGCGAGTTGCCGAAGTAATAACCCTAAAAATAATTATAATAAGTAAACAGTCTATAAGAACTAGAAAAGAATAATAAGAAAATATTATATGAAAAGTTAAAAATAAGTATATATTATAGAAAAGGTACAAAAACTAAAGAATAAGAAGAAAATAATATATTAGAATAATAAAAAATATTATAATAATAAGAAAATATCATTTTAAAAGTATAAAAAAAATAATAATAAGTAAATATTATATAGAAGATATAAAGAAATTAATAATAATAAGTAAATTTTATGTAAAAGTATAATAATAAGTAAATATCATATAAAAGTATACGAATAATAATAAGTAAATATTAGAGAAGAGTATCATAATAGTACGTCATTCATAAAAATTTAAAAAAGCTATTTTTAAATAAGTGTTATGATGCTAATAATAATTATTATTTATAACGAAGTAAAAATAATAAATATATATTTGATAAAAATTATGATAAAATACAATAATAAAACTAGAAATGTTGAAAATAATAGTTCACAATAATTATTGTACTAAATATATTGGAAAATATTATATAAATATAAGCGTAACAATTTAGAATAATAATAAAATAAAAAAAGCAAATAATAAACTGAAATTGAATAATTAGAAAAAATGATGGCTCAAAAAACTACGTCATTGACTAAAAAAATTTTTACTATTTTCCATTGGTTAACGCATTAAGAGACACAAAAAAGTTGGTTATAAATTATACTTTTATTAGTAAAAGTTTGTTTCTTTTCCCAGTTACTTATGGAATATAGTATTATTTATAATATATATAAAGAAAAAAATTTATTACCAAATGGTTGATAATAATAAGTATATCCATAAAAATAATGAATAATAATTATTAGTATATTATAGAAAGAAATTTATTAACAAATAGTATATAATAATAAATATATTCACAAAAAATTATAAATAGTAATTATTATTATATAGAAAGAAATTTATCAACAAATGGTAATAATAAATACATTCATAATTATTATAATAATTATTTTATTATGGTATATAAAAAAATTCTTAACGAATTGTAAATAATAATAAATATATTATAAAAAATAATGAAAACACATTAATATATATATATTTATAAACAAATAGTAAATAATTATTAATATATTCAAAAAATAATGAATAATTATTATAATTAACATTCCATTATTATTGTATATAAAAAAAACTTTCTTAACAAATAGTAAGTAACCATAAATATAGTAAGAAAGAATAATGAATTATCATTTCATTATTATTAAACCTTCAGTTAAAAAAAGGATCTTCGTTTTTCGAGTTTTCGAGGTATCAAATCGAATCTGGTAAGCGATTTCGGTATCGTAAACATTTAAAGTTTCTAAAATATTTTAGTTAATAACTTTATCTATAAACTACCAATCATATTACCAAATGAGACTCTTTTAGCCAATGAAATGCAAGCAATTCGTCTTGGCTGAGTGCAAGCAATTCCTGTGTACCTGACGAATCGATATTGGTAGACTTTACAAAAAGTTTATACATAATAAATGTTGAATCTATTTGTTCACCAAAAGTACCATAAAACTTCCATATTAAGAAATGTTGGGATAATAAAAAAGTTTTTTAAGTTATATATATAAACGAAGAGTCCCTGCATTTAATTTTAATTTTAACTATGCGTTCTCCTGCTTTCTGAAAAATCATTACTTTGTTGAGTTTTTTCATGAATTTTTTGTCAAGTTTATAATTAGACAATATAAAAAAATTTTAACTTCGGTATTATAGTAACACTTTATAAAGGAGTTAATGATTGGCCAATAATTATATTAAATAATAAATAAAATGAAAAGGCCATAGAAAAGTTCGAATAATAAATACTTCAAACTTTTTATGCAGAAAACGAGTTACTAGTATATTAGTTTTTTATGAATCAAACTCTTTATTATTTATATTATCATTACTTTCATTATTTATATTGTTGTGACCCATATAATTTGTATTATTATTACTTTTGGTATTTATATTATTACTGTTGTTAAATAGCGCAAACTTATAATAAACTTTTACCCCATTTCTAAAAGATACTGTGGGACTTGTGTCGATTTTCCTGCGCCCGTGTCCGCCGCAATAATAGTGACCTTTAATAATAATAATAATAATAATAAATAAATAAATAATAATAATAAAACCTGATTGGTGGAGACAGCGGTTTTTATAGCCTCACGAAAAGCAGCAATTGGCAAAGAAGCCTGCGAACGTCGAAGAGTCTTCAACTGTTTAAAGTTTCTCATCTTTTTTTTTTATTTATAAAATACAAAAGAATTGTTTTATTATTACTAAAAGTGTATTCTTTACAAACAATAATATTAAAGTTTTTCTTAGTTTAATAAAAAAGTTATCAGACATAAATATATATCAAAAAAAAATTAAAAAGTTGTTACTGTATGTTAAATAAAAACTTAATATTAAAAATTATATATAAAGTTGTATTAAATAAATAAAAGAAAACTAATATAGTAATCAGTAAAATTCAAACATTATTAATAAAAAAGATAATAAAAGTTAAACAAAATATTATAAGAAAAGTAACAAAAAAGATAAAAAAAAGATAGTAATAAATAGTAAATATATAATTATCATATATAAGATAAAGTATTACTAAAGTACAACACAAAACTGATGAAGAAAAAAATTTATAGTATTAGTTGTAGATGTGCATATAAAGTTTTTATATATATTAAATTGTAAACTTATGAAAAATAATGAGAAGTAAAATAAAAAAATATTAAAAATATTTATATAAAAACTAATGAATTACTATAAACAGAATTACCCAACAAAAAATTTTGTATTATGTAAAACAGAAACTGTAGAATAGAATGAAAAGTATGTTCATTAAAAAAATAGATTACGATTTTTTATTAATAAAAATTAAATATTTATGATAAAAAATTAGCAAATATGAAAAAAATTGAAAAAAAAAGTATAAGCATAATGAAAAGTTTTTCAATAAAAATACTGAAACATAAAAGTTTATTATAAAAATAAAACAAATATAAAAATATTTCAGAAAAAACATATAGATAATAATAAATATATTAATTATTTAATAGAATTTTAGTAAAAAATAAGAATTATAACTTTTATAATAAAATACTGAAACATTAGATTTTTATCTAAACAATAAAACAAATATTAGAAAATATCAATAAAACTATAAATAATTCAAAAAATATTATTTTTTTAGAAAGTTTTAGTTAAAATTATTATAATGAAAGTTTATAATAAAAATACCTAAACAAAAATCTATTAGAAGAAATAAAACAAATATTAAAAATATCAAAAAAAGAGCATAATAAATAGAATTCCAAAAAAATAATTTATTATAAAAAGTAA